CCCCATAAAAAACACTGCTCACACGTGTACAGTTTAATGTTTGAGTTTTCTACACAAGAGCCGCACAAAAGAGATTAATCTTGTCATATTTGCGTTATTCTTTTTCCTGGTTTGCGAACGGGCAAACTGTTTAGTGTCAAAATTGTTTAAGTATCTGAGCTACAGTGGCTGTCACTTTTCTTAATCTCAGATAGCTGAATCCCCCCGCCCCGCCCCCTCTATAAAAATAAAACAAATTAAGGCACGGATCCATCTTTTAATTAAAGCCAAAAAGGGCAGCTCCATCTGTGACTTACTGAACTTAATCAAGTGTCAAAAGGGTGAGACGTGGCTACCTAAACCTCATACAAAAGTCCTGCCTATCAAAATAAATTTACAATAATATTGAAAGAGTCGTGAAACCCATTCTCTAATTACTCTACCTAAGACGCCCGTGTAACAGTACCTGGAGAGGACGTGTTGGATTCCACCGCTGTGTCCTCTGTAACCTCCGACTGAGCACTGGGCGTCTTGTGAGGTACGACTGGGCCGTCCCAGGAGCCTATCTGACGCCTTGCCTGTGCAGCCTTAGGACAAGAGGGAAACAATGCAGTTGAGAGTTTTGGGTTGAGTTTTAAAAGAAAGGAACTGGTTCCGAACGGAGACGGCGTAATCTATCTATCTATCTATCTATCTATCTATCTATCTATCTATCTATCTATCTATCCATCGATCTATCTACTCTTTGGTTGCTTTGTATAAGCTAACTCAACCAATGTTACCAAACCACGTATTTCACCCACATTTCCAAATTTCTGGTCTACAAGTTAGGGAAGGTTCTGGGAAAAGAACGGACCAGAGGACTTTTGGACTAGGTTACGCATTCTACTACAAGATACCAACTTTCGCAAACGAAAAAAACCAAACGAAAGCAATAAAAAAAAGAAACCAAAATAAACAGACACACCTCGTTCTTCAAAACACGGGCCGCCATTTTCATAAATACGATATTCAGCAGAAACCCAGATGATGTGCGTAAAAGGAAGGAAATGGAATGATGGATTTTCAATTTGTTTTGGAAGGAGTTAAAACCTGATGATTTGCCTTGTTTTTAATTTCAAGAAATACCTTAAATAGAAGTTGAGATAGTATTTGCGAGCGAAGGAGGGCACGGTCAAAGGTAAAAGTTGCGAGAAAATGGTTGCCAAAGTGTAGTGACTTTTAATGCTGTAGTGTCCTTGGAAACTACAAATTTACTATTTTGCGTGCCTTTGGTCAGCGCTTTTCAGTAAAAATCGATGATTCATGCATGCTTTTAAATGGACATAAAAGGTATTGGTTCCAAAACAAAATATTCGAGGAAAATTGCAAAATGTTGAGGAAAAATGTTGGTTTCTTCGATATAATTATTTTAACGAGCGCCTCATTTCACCGATTCAACTCGAACTTTGAATCTTAGTGTGGTTCAAAATTTGTGTGTACTCTTTTCTGAAATATTTACTTATTTTCTTCGTAAGAGTTGAAGGCGATTTAAGCCGCCCAAGCCAAAGAATGTCCCATTAGGGATTTGAACTAGGGCTATGCACACCTCAATCCAAAATGGTGCCAGCAATAAATTATGTCTGGTAAAACAAACTACGTCACCTGTGACATCTTAGTCCTCAGCTCGTCTCTGGACATGTTGAAAAAGTTGGGCGGGAGTTTGGACGGGTCAAATCCCGAAGGGACTGACCGTCCTGTTGATTTCATCCACCTCAGCAGACGATCTGTGTAAGCTGTTCTACTCTGTAACAATTACAGCGAACATGAAGAGGTTATATTACTTTCTTTTTTACTTTCTTATATTTGAAACGCATAGCCTACCACGGGAACTGTCCCCCCCCCCCACCCCTTTCCCTCTTTTTTAAAACATCGCCGTTTTACGTCTGAACGCTATGTTCAAGTGTATAAGAACTATCCATCTAGTAGATTTAGTATCCAGCGCTCTCATTTAATCTCTACCCTTAACTGGCATAATATGTCTGCCTGTATTATCATGTTCTGTTTTTGTTGGGGGAAAAAACCCTCTAATCTTTAAGTGTCTTGTTGGGACCATAAAACAAATAGGCCTAACTTTGACATGGGCGTTTTAGCTAGTCGTAACAACTACAGGAACCAAAATGTTATCTGAGACAAAACAATACCCTGCTTCGCCGTACGTAACCTGCCAAAGTTTAGATTCTTTTCGTTTCACCTAAATCGCATGGCCAATTCTGTCAGGGAAAAAATTTAAGAAGACAATGGACATGCTTTTTGAGTTAGTATTATTGTCACTGCGACTTACAGTCGTCTGTCGTTGAGGAACAGGGTAACTGTTCACAGGTGGTGCAGTAGCGGAGGGGCCTGGTGGCCCTTGGCAAGACAGGTGGTACAGTTCGGGCGTCCCGTCGGATTTCACGGCTGAAAGCATAATAATGGTAAAAACAACAATAACGATAATAACATAAAATTGTGGTAAACTTTTCCCGTTCAGATAGACACGTAGTATTTTCATATGTCGCATTGTAAATTTAAATGCCACATTGAGAATGCAAAAGCAGCTTTATAAGAAAAAATCGCCAGACTGTAACTTCTAAATGTTCAATAGGTAACTTTTCATTTTGAAATGTGAAATCTTTTTTTTTCAGTTCAAATATCATTTTCACACTGTAACTTCAAATAGCCTCTAAACTATTGTTTGTTTCTAAATTTTTCTTTCCCAATGACACCATATTACTCGTATGTGGCATTACAGTTGTGATTCTGTTATATTTGAAACTTATATCGTCATCATCATCATCATCATCATCATCATCATCATCATCATCATCATCATCATTATCCTCATCTTCCTCCTCCTCCTCCTCCTCCTCCTCCT